TTTATACTTAGAACTTCTGTAAACATTTATCTAGAGTTGACGTGGCATGTTGCCCATTGTACTTCGGATTGATACTCTTATTTCCGAAGGCGCCGATCCATGGCCTCTGAGCATGCGCCCCTGGGCTGATGACTTTTGCGACCGCTCCGCCGTAGGTAATCATGCCACTGCGACCTTCTGAGCCGCCTCATCAAGTAACGAGTCAGCCTCTGGGCGGGGAAGGGCCTCACCCCCCGGCGACTGTGACATTTGTTCACCCTTTCCAGGTCTTTCCTCGCCTGCCGGTGGGGGCGACCAGCACGCGGGCCAGCTTGAAGACGTAACGAATCATGTTTCAATGAGTTACAGCTCCTTCAACTAACATCAAAAGTTTACAAAATGTCCAAAATAAGGTACTTAAAAAAATACTAACGCCCCCTGGTTTGTGCGAAATTCCCAATTATATAGATCTAGAAATCCAAATAATGCACTCTTTCTTACGCGTAAATACAACCTTCTTTCACAACCTTTTGCTAATTTCCAACCCTAGATGGAAAAATCTAGGAACAAAATCCATAAATCCACGCACAAAAAAAAAAAAGAATTCCCACACGAAATAGTAATCTAACTGCAATATTTTCTTAAACCTCACATTTCGTATCCTTCAAACCAAAACCAATTAAATAGAAACAGTTATGTCAACTTTACCTTAAAGCAGGGATTCTTAACCTTTTTCTTTCATTTTAAGGGTATTTTTTGCTTCATCGATTTCCTTACTTTTTCTTCATAATATTCAAAATCCACAATCATGACCCAAAGAATTGCACATAAATGCCTTAAGAATTATATTCTACATGAATATCTAAAAAATACATAAATTTTCAATAATTGAATACTCTTGCGCTTGAATACTTGAGTTTCTAATCTTCATTGTAATGCAATTGTTACAAAATGTTGAGTGGATTTTAAGAACTGGTGAAAACATTTTTGAACAATATAGTATCGTTGTGAACGCATAGTTATAATTTCTCCAGTTTTCTAATCGGCTTAATTCCTAAGGATGAAGGACGGATACAAAAGAAGAGAAGCAAATTTGCAATTTATTATTATGTCTTGTTGATTTATATTCAGAAAACAGTTAATATTATTAATATTATTTTTGTAATCATCGGGATCTTGATTGTACTTCTCACGCGCCGGTTTATATGCGGCCATTGACCCTCAACTGACCCCTCGATCACCATTAACTCCTTTTATTTTATCGACACCTAGGGGTTCTATACAGGCCCTGCTGGGAATACCTGCTCTAAAGGAACAAGCACCCACCAACAAGGAACAAGCGGGACCTCAATGACCGGTGACCTACATTTAAAAAATTATGAAGAGTGTTATACGAGTTCGTATTTTATTTTACTTGACATGCACATGGAGATGGACAGTTTGAATAAAAAAGTGAATAACAAAAACTGAACCCAAAAAATTGATTATTAAGTGGGACTTACCAATGCCATTCTCGTACGTGGATAGCGCCAACAACCACCGCCGCCTCCCGGAATATAATAAACACAGCACGTCACACCACAGCAGGGCGACGGTGCGAGTTCTCGCGGTCGGTAGTGGAGGCCGTTCGACTATAGCCCGCGAATGGAAACGTAAAGGACGTTGAAAGGCGGACATCTCACGCAGGCGTTCACAACACGAAGGAAAGGGGAAGGATGGTCAACAAAAATTCTTGGCGCAGGAACGGTTTTCCATTCGATCAATGACAGTATTGCAAAGAGCGGCGAAGTTTCTCAGTTGATCAAACACGCGACACTGGTCTGGAGAAGTTGAGAATGTTAAGCGATATTGAGGTTAGAGCGTGGATTTGAGAAGTTACGGTTTGAGGTGGGTTTTGTTAGTCATTATCTAGTTGTTTTAGTTCTTTTAGTAATTATAGTTTAATTGTTTCTCTATTCATATTAATTCTTAGAATTAAAATCTTCTTTAAAAATTACTTTTATGGATTTCGATAAAGAATATTGAAGTTGTTTATTTTTTGGTACAATTTTAATTAGTTGTATTTTAGTAATTTTAGTAACTTCTTAGTAATTTTTGTATTTTTTCATTCGGTCAAGAATTTATTATTTGTAAATAAGTTTGTTAGAATTTAAGAACAGTAAAAACTGTTTGTGATATAAGGGGGAGATGTATCATAAATAAGGGATGAAAATAACAGAACATAAAAGCTATAATAATAAAACAACAGAAAATAGAAACAAAATAAAAATTTATGGAATAACAAAAGAGTATAAACTATGATAAATGAAGTAAATAATAATATATAATGGAAAATAGCAACGGTAATATAAAACTCAAAAAGTAAATACAAAATTAACAATAATGAATGAAAAATGTGTAAAACAGAGGTATTAGAACGCAGAAGCAAAGGTATAAAACAGAAAAAAGAGATAATGAAAATTAATGAAACCATGAAAATATGATAAATACGTGAAAAACCGACGGAAATTCTAAAGAATTAAAACGAACGCACAGGGAAGACCAAAACAAAACAGCACATGCAAACACAACAGGAAGATGGCAAATCAAAGAGTGAATAGAGCAGCCAACTTAGAAGCGTATTTTCCTTTTTCTTGTTGTTGCTGTTTAAAGTCGCATCAACATCTCGGTTTTTAGCGACCACTATTACATTTAACGGTATGGCAACTGGGAAGATGACATGATAGGGGGTGAAAGGACGAACACAAATTCAACCATGCCCGAGTCGGAACTCGAACCCGCGATTCTTCGGTCCGAGATCAAAACGGCACTACTACTTTAACGATCTCGGCTATCCGGACTAGCTGAAGTGCATTGGTTTCGGTAAGTGTTTCTTGAAATATTCTTTCTTGCCGCTAAAGGTTCTTAGCACAATTCCTCTTCCCATTCATGTTTACTGCGAAGCGCTCGAATCTCGCTTTCCAGTTCACTTCCTCGGATTTGCGTCGCCGTTCCCGTTCACGGGAATTTGTGGAGAGGCCTAAAGAGATGTGCGCGGCATTTGCACTTGCGAGGACGACGGATTCGACTCCAGTGCAGGCAAAGCGCGGGTGCGGGCAGAAGACGTGGAAATAAGCCTCGTTTTCGGAGCGGTGAGAATGGTCCGTTGCATCTGAAGTTCGTACTTCAAAATACCGCTGCTAGAGCATAGCAGACTGCTTAGTACATTTAGCATTGAATTGAATCGAATTTGCCTTATTTTACGTAGCGAGACTCGGGCCATCAGGCCCGCTCTTCCGTCTGACCACGCAAATTTCGCTACGCTCCTTTCATCAACTAGCAGAGAAAGGAGGTATTTCTGGAGCGAGAAAGAGGCGATTTGAATTTAGCTCGGATGCGTCATTTAGTCTTGAGGATCTTTTACATGCAAGTAAATCTACTAACATGGGACAGCCGGCTTTACTTGAGGCAGCCAGGCGTATGAAGGATTTTTTCGCCCTTAAAAATCCACGGCTTCGATCGGTTTTGAAACCGCGAACTTGGCTACAACAGACCGGTACGCAAACCGTTACACCATCGCCGCCGCCGCAGCATTAGAGTTGTTAACATTTCTTCTCAAACGTTGACAATGTGTAAGGAGAGGGAATGTATGGTAATACGAATCTACTTCTCGAATTAAACTTGTGTAATGTAGAATTTTCATATTGTAATGAGGTGGAGGAAATATTAAAATGTAAAAAGTAATTATTTCAAATCTTCCACAAGTGTCAGAAATAAAATTGGTATTCATGAACACTGACGCAACGGCGCCTGGTAGCATGCAGGTGTGAATATGCATGGTATCACTCGAGACTCAAGCCGAGTCGGTCCCATAGCCGCAGCGACGGTAAGTTAATTCTTTGAGGCAAGGCAAAAAGGTTTGAGTCACCTTTAGAACTCTTTCAGTGGTTGACTCAATGTTGACATAAAAACCACAAGCGTTCGAATCGCATTAAAGGCGACATTTTGGAGCAACATCATATTAACGCGTTTGATTTAAAACGTTCTAGTCTTTACTAACAAAAAAAAGATGTGCGTGAAATTTTTCCAGTGTATAGAATGTGTGCTGGAAAGATTGTGGGCCTGGGGCCGCGTGTAGAAATGTTGATGCCAGCATAGTCCAAGATCATTATAACTTGTGACGCGGATGGTTTTACGTGTGTTTGGTGCGTGTAAGCCTGGACACTTACATATCTCTGACCTAGTAATCAGATGTTTCCCAAAACTGCACATAAATCTGTGAAGAATGTCGTGCTTTTTTCTTAGATATCTCAATACGCCATTAACAGCCAATTAAAACTTTGATTGCGATAAGATACCGCCTTGTGGGACTCCTCTGGAAATTATGCACTGGCATTAGTAATAGATAGATTGTGAATTAGATAACTTTTCTTTATCTTTTTCTCCACGAGTGTGAAAAATATATTGTTTTCAAACCACTTGAGTGCGTAACTCATTTCCGAGTGAACGATTACTGTCACTACATTTCCTGGGCATGTGTTCAGCGGTGGTTTGCTTCTGCCTTCCACTTCTTGAAGGATGATGGGAGAGGATGTGGGGTGAATGGAGACGAATATGAATAATTTTGAACAGGATTACGTTTAGATGGTTATCAAGAAGCCAAACAATATGGTTTAGGTGACAGTCGATTCTATAGTATTTTCTGCCAATCCTCCAAGCATCTTCTGTAATTCCTCTGTCAAGTGCGCCATCATTTTAATATTTACAACTTTTTGGGGTATTCTGTATTTTTCGAGAAACAATATAACATCTCAAAAAATCCCAAGTGCAATGAAATAGGAAAAGAGGAATGCTCTAGAGAAATGTTCTAAACATTGCCTCTCGGAATATGCTACTATGACAAGAAATGTTTTCTTATGCTCCGACCGACAATGTGAAAATGTTGTCCTCTGGGGGACACTAGTAAAAGTTGCAGAAGCGACATTGATGAAAAAAATAACGCTGTTTTTGTTAAAGGATTTATTTACATACAAATAACAATGTATGTACAAATTGGCAGCGATGCGATTCGCTCAGAATGTAGGGGTCGACGTTCATCGGCAGCCGTACATCTTCTCCAGCTTGAGGATGTCTGAAGAGCTGAAGCCGCTGCTCTGGCCGATGGATTGCTGCAACAGAGAACACATTGCTTGTTTTGTGACCCGTGGACGCGCCAAGCGCTTAGCGAGGCGGAAATACTCACCGGGGCGACGATGGTCTTTTGTCCGTTCTTGCTGAAGGCGTAGGCGTCGTAGTGCATGATGCTGCCGTAGTCGTACGCCACGCCGAAGTTGGTGATGACGCTGGAGCTGTACTTGTCGAAGTTGTACTCCATGCCTGCGGGCAGAGCGGGTGAGCGGGTTATGTGCACTTGAGGGTGGGGTGGGGGAGGGGTGGCGGAAGGGGGTGGGTGGCGTGTACGTACCACTCTGGATGTTTCCCCACTGGATGGTGACGTAGTTGTCGCGCTCCGTAGAGCTCTGCTGGTGGTGGAAGCCCCACGCGTGCAGGAACTCGTGGATGGCGGTGCCCTTATACACGCAGCCGTTGCGCTGCAGGTTCACCACCTGGCCCTAGGCAAGCACGAGGCGCGTGAGTGTGTGTGCACGAGAGAGATGGAGAGAGAGAGAGAGAGAGAGAGAGAGAGAGAGAAGGGATGAGGGAACGGCGCCTACCCCGCTCTGCGCGCCCACGTACGACCAGCAGCCCGTGTTGTCGCCCTTGATCCAGATGTAGCGCGAGTCGCCGTTTTGGTAGGGCCGCATGGTGACGCAGGTGCGCGTGTTGTAGTCGGCGACGGCGCTCTCGATGACTGCGCGCTGGGCGGACGCTGCAAGCCAAGCCAAGCCAATGCGAGTGAGTGGGCGTGGTCCGGGGGCCGCGGAGCGTGGCGCGGGCTACTCACTGAAGGTGGGGTCGATGTAGTAGGGCATGACGCGGTTGGGCCAGCGCGCCGCCGTGGACAGGAGGCCGTTGCGGGCGGACACGTTGGCGGGCAGCATGATGTCGCCCTGGAAGTAGCCGCTGTCCTGCCAGCGCCCGGCGCCGGCCGCGCGCGCGCCCTCGCCCCAGTCGCCGTCGTGGTGCAGGAGGTCGTGGCCGGCGTGGCGCGGCGCGGGCGGCACCACGTCTGCGCACGCGCTCAGGGCGCACAGGGCCAGGCTGAGGGCTACGGTCAGGGGCTGCATGGCGAGGACTGGCGCTCGATCGCCCCCAGCCCTCTTTTATACGTTCGCAGCAATCGATACGCAGCCTCTCGGGAATCTTCGAGTGTCGCGCTTGGTGATAAAGGCAAGGTTGCGGTAGACGCCCGCTTAATGTTCGCTGATAACGTCGAGATTTGTTTCAAAAAGACAAAAGAAGACACACTACAACGGGAGATCACACGAGGTTCCTAAACAGCATCTTAATGCGTGTGAAACAATTGAGATCCTTACATCAAAGTTCCGTAGATGAAGAAAGCATAATCTTGTGTTTAATATTACTTATTAAGTAAGAAAGTTTACTTATTATGTAAGAAAAGGTGTTACCACACTTCTATTTGTGTTGTGAATTTTTCATAAGAGGCAATCACTAGAAGTATCAGTCCCATTTGACAAATATTAAACCTTTAGTAAGTGGAGAGAATTCTTTGATCATTTCCAAACTTACTTGTGATTATTAAGTTAAAGTACCTTGTGGAACTCTAATTAACGGAAAACGACTCAAAACATTATAGGATGAGCGAAGAGTGTGCGAACGTTTTTAGTGGAAAGCAGGTGTGGAATTTTTTTAGAATACCGTGGCTTTTGTTTTAAGTATATTAGTCAATGGAAATATTTCCATAAATCAGGATAGTGCTGTATTTTAACAGTCCCATATCAACAGAGGAGTCAACGACTGGCGTATTTTCCCCGCCTTTTTCTTTACGTAAGGAGTTACTTTTTCGTAGTTTGGGACTTTTATTGGGACTAGAACTTTTCTAAATTCGTTGTGATAGATTCGTCCTTCAAAGCTATCAGATTTTTTATTATAAAACTTCGAAACCGTCACCAAATATAATCGTGGAAACTCGAGCGTTCTCTTATAGTCAAGGCTGTCCGAAAACACGTTGCAGACTTTTTTTAGTATCTCTCTAAAAACATAACAGTTCTGGAGTTAAAGAAACAAATAATGTTGAACTAGTTCTTCTAAAGAAGGATGACACCATCTGTGTCCCTGCGAGCAGGATAGAAATGCAGGAGAATGTTCAAAACATATTCTCTTGCCTCGCCTTCAAAACTGAAAATATTTTAACACAAACAGCCAGAAAATGATAGTTATTTAATGTTGCTAAATGAATGTAACAATAAGTTCTGGAATATATACAATATTTTCTCAAATTCAAATTTATTCTGGGGTCCGCCGTTGACTTGCTCCTCGAATCTGATATTCGTCGCCGCCCTACACGCCGGCTTCCGGACTCTTCCTCTCCAGGAATCTCTATGCAAAGGGGCACCATTACAGCTGCGCAAACGGTAAGTACCCGACGGCTTTCCCTACATGTGTATAAAGAGCATTCAAACATAAACGAGCCGGAAGCCTAGGAACAAAAAGCAGACACCATGTGAGAAGTATTGGCCCTGGCTGTTGAGGTCCTGAGTTCCACTGCGACACAAGACAGTGTCTGGCTGTTTCGTTAACTTCCCGGGGCTGCGTTGTGAAGCAGTTCCGCACGTATTACTTAATATCGTCGTCCGAGGAGAATCGTTGCTCTGCAGAGCCATTTTTAGGGAACCACAAATGGCCTATTCGTAGGGAGAGACGTCTGAACTGTATGGAAGGTGACTGAAAACCTCCCACTTGAGTTTCTTCAAAAGTGCAGTAATTGTGTTGGCCATTTGATGCCTTGTGTTGTTCTTCACGAGGTGCGTTCAAAAAGAAACGAAAAGTCAAGTGGGAGGTTAATGGGCCAATACTTCTGACATACAGGTACTGCTTTTAGTTCTCATGCCTCCGACTCGTTTCTTTTTAAAGCTCCTTATATAATGCATATAAATGGGAATCGTGCGGTGCATACGGTTCGTGATCTGTTTTTGTTACAATACTGATCTGGTATTCGCTCAGTATTGATCGGAGAAACTACGAAAAACAAGCTATCGTGTGTCATACTTCATGCAAATACCATTAGGTAAAGTATTGCGAAAGTCCCTTACAAAAGGGAGGATGTCTAAGCCGTGAAGCTACATTGCGAGTCACTAGAGTGGAAGTGATCTGCAGCCACATTCACATCACGTCACCTCACACAACTAGTGCGTCACACTCGCCACTTTCAACATTCAATCCCTAAAGAAAGCACAGTAGTGCTACTACAAACGTTCTCATATACGGTTCCTAATATTATAATATTGTAATTTCCATCTTACTGTTTAGGAGGTTTATCACTCTGAAATGATCTCGATCGTGTTTGTCTCCTTCCTTAAATAGAGGGATAAGAATGCTTGATTTCCATTCCTTTGGAACTGTTGCGTCATTTAAAATTTTATTAATAAGTTTTGTTATCTCTGTGCATAAGGTTTTTCCTCCATATTTAATGAGTTCATTATGTATTCCATCTTCTCCAGGTAAACTCCTATTTTGTAGTGTTCCGATTACTTTCGATATTTCTTCACATTTTACGCACTGTTTCTTGGATGTAAAATCTTCAACAAAGTCTATTATCTCCGGTTATCTCCGGTGTGTCGTGGAGTAGTTCTTTAAAGTAATTTATTCATATTTCATCAAATACTTTATATGTGCTAATAAGTTCATTTATTTCTGTCCTCTAACGAATCTCCAGATATATTTTTGTCGCCCATAGAAATCATGTTGAAGCCGCATGCTGAAGGAGAGATCCAGTAACCTTTCTTTATTCCTCTAACCCTTGCATTAACTTTGTTCCTGATATTTTTATATTCTTGATGGGTTCCTGGTGCTTTATTCTCTTTGAATGTTATATATGTCGCTCTTTTCTTTTGTGCTATATCCTTAACTTCTTTAGTAAACCAGGGTTTGTTTTTCTTTCTTTTTTGCATTTGTTTCCATTATTCCTGCGGCCTCTTTAGCAGCTTGGATAATATTTGTTTTTAATTTGTCATGACATTTCTACGCTCTCAACATCCAAGACTGAATTGTGAGATATTTTGTCATTCAGTCTGCCTTTATATCGATAACTCGAGCATCATCGAATAGTGCTTCATGTTATCTTTTTGTGATTGGTTCTGGTTTTATTTTGCAATATTTTTCTTTGTAATGAACATTCGTAGTTTTATTAATACCAGGTTATGATCACAGCCAGTATCCACTTCTGATAGTCTCCTTACAACTAGTATCTGGGGTTGGTGAATTTCACGATTAGTAAGTATAAAATCAATGGTGGATTTTTGTCTTGTGTTCATCCATGCACTGAAAAAAAGGAATGCTTGCCGCACATTAAAATAGGGTTCACACAACCATAAACAATAGTAAAATTTGGCCCAGCTATTTTTGTGGTTGACGCACTGTAGTGCGCGGACCTCTGTGGGGCCTTGAACCACCGTTGTGTCCGGTGGTACCCAGGTCTACCGTGCTATTCTGAACCATAAAACGTTAGCAGTTCGTGGATGAAACTTCGGTGAGTTTGACACCCAGGGCCGGATTTACCTACAAGCAAAACAAGCAGTTTCTTGGGAGCCCCCATTCACCAGGGGCCCCGCTTTTCGGAAAAATACTCATACTATATTTTTGTGTCTGTGAAATAATGTTAATCAAGTAGTCTACTGTTTAACAAAATGTACAATTTCAAAACATTTTTAAAAATATTTATTACATGTTAAATTAGTCTAATATTAACAATATTTTATTTCCTTTACTTATAACTGAATATGTAATTTTTTTATGCGTACTTCAAAATTTTTCATGCTCAAATTAACAGCTATGGGGGCCCTCAGGACAAAAGAGGAGGCCTATATAGGCCAAATAGAAATTTATGTCTCAAACAATGTGTAAGATGAAATGCTAAAACGGAAGAATACTAGAATCGGTTATCATACATCCTGTCTCTTATACACATCTAGATGTGTATAAGAGACAGCTTTTAGTGTTTTTCAATTTGTCATATAATTTGATTATAATAATTTATATAATAATTAAATTTATTATTTTAAACAAATAATTTCATGAAATTGCATAATGTGTATTAATTGTAAATGTAAATGTAGACAACATTATCGAAATATTTGCGAAATAGAAGGCGAGAAGACTAAACTTCATCATTTGATTACAATTAGTAAGTTTTTGCCTTAATATTTGCCATATTATTAAGATTTTTGTCTTAATTTTTCAGAAATTTGACTATATAAGGAGTCATACGGATTCTCATTTTCAATCAAAATGTAATTTTATTTTTTATACAGTGGTATATAACTTGTGATTTTCTAGAGCAAATCGTTGTATTTAAATAAATACATGTATTAGTAAATTTATAATTATGATACAATTATAAAACATTTATGAAACAAACGCTTTGAATATCTAATTAAAAACTATATTCATTAATACATTTTGAAATTTTTGAAACTAGTTTATTCATGTAGAATAACGCTTTTTTGGATATATTTAAGCATTATTCGTTTGTTTAATTTTTAAATTCTTCTACATTTAATATTGTTTATACCATTGCTAAACTTTTTGCTTAGGGAATAATTATTTTAAGAATGCAATATTTTGTTAATTGGGTAATTTTATAGAAATAATAACTAAAATATTTTATGTGTCGCGTTATCTTGTATTTTATTATTATAGATAAAATGAAGTCTTATGCAAGTGGAAGTGAAAAGCGTAAAAAGAAAAAAAAAAGATGAAGAAGAACGAACGAAGAAACTTCCAAAAATCACGAGGGTTTTTTTTTTTTCGGGAGAAAAACCAACTGAAGAGAAAAACGTCGAGATTGGCTATCATTGTTCTTCAGAAGCAACGAATACATCTAATAACTATTTCGAATCTTCGTGTCACATGACATTAAACAATGATTTCAAAGGAATTGAAAATGTCCAAGTTCCGACTCCCATTGATTCAGAAAATACGAAGATTGCATCCAACATCGATAAACAATACTGCAACATTAGGGTAACGATATTGGTCTTTGGACAGAACTGTTGGATATATACTCTCTGGACAGAACTGTCTGTGGCTGATTTTAAGTATTGGATAG